GATATTTTACAATTACTTTCTATTAATATTATTGATTCTCTTACTTCTTTGCTTTTATATAATAATATTGTATTTAGCAACCTTTTTCAAATTGTATTAGCTAACAAATCTCATAAACAATTTACTTTCTTTATTGATGGTTTTTCAAAAATTTTGGTACAGAGCAATGCATTATGGGTATTAGTTGGGCCCAAATTTATAATAATACTGTTATCTACAACTTCTCAGCCTAAATTACTAACTGGCTCTTATTATATAAATCTGAGCTTCTTGCTATTCTCTTTGCTATCTCTACTATCCTAGGTAACCTAGGCAACTTCTTTGTTGACATCTTCACTAACTCTTAATCTGTAATCTTTAAATAGAACAAACTTCTCTAGACTTCACAATTCTTTACAAAAAATTTTAAATTCAACTTATAGCCTATTTGGCACACAATTTTTAACTCTTTTAAAGTCTATAATATTAGCTTAATCTTCTACAAAGTTCAAGCCTATGCCAATAATATTTTTAATAGTTTAGCAGTTTACCTTGCCAATAATTATGCATTATCTCCTACTTTGCTATTTAATTATTCTAATATCCACAACCTTTACTTCTTTCTTCAATAGAAAAACTTCTCTATTGATAGTTCTACTAGATAATTTATTAAAAATATTTGCAAAGCAAAAACTATTTTTATATAGTTTTTACAAAACAGTGCCTCTGAATAGTTACACTTTTCTAATATTATAGACTAAAACTCTATCTGGCTTTACTTCAATAATAACTAAAAGAGATTATAGCTTTACTAATTATAAGCTTAATTATTTCAAATCCTTTAAAATTAAAATGTTATTTAACAATCTCCCTACTCATTTATACTTTCATTCTATATTACTCAACATATTTCCATCTTCCTATTGTTTTCAATACAACCTTTCTAAATCCTCTACTTATTGGTATACCTGCTCTTACTATAACCTCTTATTACAGGTTATTCACTTTTCTATCCTAAAACTATTTTTAATTTTAAGCTCAATCTCTCTTATCATGAATTAAACTATTTAATATATACAATCTCCTCTAACCTCTCCTTCTCTTCTCATTTCTCACTACTTTATCTATACTCTCTTCACTCAACCCTTAGAAGCCTCATTCCTATTTCTCTTATTCAATGCATACTACTATTTGATATTTTATACTCTATTGCCTTTCAAATTATTATTCAAGTTATTATCAAAATCTTGAACCAACTTTACAATCAAATTTGAAAATCATACTGCATTAACTTCTCTACTTGGAAAAAAGCACATCATCTCTACTAACTTTATTCTAACTATTTAAATCTAGGTGAGTTTTGATCACACTAGTAGGTTTAGATTACAGATAAATAATTAGTCTAAGCTCTTATTCTTGTATGTAGTTTATATTTATTCATTTGTATATGAATTAAGTTTTTATTTAGTTTCTATATGTCTACTTATATAAATTACTCAATAAAGATATGAGCAAGGCCTCACCCTTCAAATTAAAAAAATAAAAAATTATTAATATATTCTTAAAATTCTGATAACTATAAAACTGCTATAATTTGAGAAAACTATCTAATTCTTTTATAATTTGAAATATTTTTTTTATAATTAAAATTATAAATAAAGAAAAGAAATAGATAATATATATATATATATTTATCAATTTGGCAGTTATGCTTTTACTTTATTAAGTATAAATAAACAAACTACACAGTTTATTAACTTTACTAAGCATATTAGCCCAGTAATCTAAAATTACAAGTGTTAGCTAATCTGGTTATATTATGTATACTTATGTTTAACCTGCTATAGTAGAGTTTATATTCTTACTTATTACTTATATACTTGATGTAACAAGCATATCAATAAATAGTATCTATAACCTGTTATAACTATTAATTTCTTTAAAACTCTCCTTTTTAATATATTTGAGTAAGAGGATTTCACAATCCTTGTCTAAAGAATGACAAGTAACTAAAAAAAAACTAATTTAAAAAAAAATAGTAAAAAAAAGAGCAAAAAGTTACAAACCCTAAATGAAAAACTAAATCAAAAAAGAAAAAGTAATAAAATATAACAAGAAAAAAAGGGCAAAGAAAAAAATGTAAACATAACAACAACACTATTTACACCTGTGCAGGACTTTAAAAATTATTTAATACTCTATAGAGCAATATTCACCTTTACTTTACTTCCATATTAAAATATTTAATATTGTGAAAAATATAAAATTTTTCTTGTTTATCTTACCAATCTACTACATGTTATTTACTGTTGTTCAGAAGTATAGTAACATGATTTTCTCATGACTTGCCATCCTGATTTGGCTTTGTAAACAATGTTAATCATTTGTAAAGAGTACACTGAATTGCCCACATTTTGGAAAAAATTTCAAGAAACCCACTAAAAAAAACCCAGAAATTATATAGTAAAAGGTTTTTAAAATCAAATGCTTTAAATTTTCAAAGAAATTTATTTAAAAACTCATTTGCTGTTTTCTTTTTAAGCCAAATATAAAACCAACTTTGTCAACAAAAAACTTTCTTCCACCAAAATTTGTATACAAGAGCACCACCTCCTGCCAGTTATCTTGTATATGAATGCTTCTGGCTTGCATACCAAATATATAGAGGAGTCCCCAAGTCCAGAGTCTAGAGCAGAGTAGAAATTTGGTTAATCTTTATAAAAACCATTATTTAATATTGCTTCTTCAACTAGCAAATTTTTTGTTTTGTTCAGTGGGAAAATTTTGTACAAGTGGTCGTTTGGAAGAGTTGGATAAAATTACTGAAATGGATAATATTTTATATCATAAATATAGTATTTGTCCTTGTGTTTTTGTTATGCTGCAAAATAATAAGCTCATACCTAGTAATAGAAAATATTATTTTATTCCTTATTACATATTATAGATAAAAGTCTTTATCATTCCCTTAAGACAGGAATAAAATGGATATAAGGAAAATATGGAAATAAAAAAATAAAGAAAATGGTCATAAGGACGTGGTTATCATGGAGATTATGAATATTTTTTCGATCTGGTATAATTGAAAATTATCTAAATTACAGAAATAACGGCAATTGTGCTAAAAATGGAAATTTAGGCAATCCATACTTTAGGAACTAGTGATCTTTTAAATAAATAAATGTAAATTAGTAATTACAAATTTGCAATTACACCCCTGCTCGTGGTTATATGGTTTAAAGAATTGTATCTACAGTACTTGGAACGATTTCTAATAATGTTTATATACTTGATATAAAAAATTATACCTGGGTTACAACATTAGACCCAAATAAACCTACATCATCAGGACAGGAGCCTTCATCAACTCCATGGGTTTTTCGAAATGAACAAATAAATATTTTTCCAACCAATTTATTATATTTTGGAATTGGTATTTCCACAGCTGGAATTTTATTGGTGTAATATTTAATTTTCCTGTGTAAAAAATGAGAAATAAAAAATTATAAAGCATTTTAAGTAAAATAAGTAATACTATATATGCTTACCTGTAATACTATTTTTTTTTTTACGATTTATTTAATGGCCTTTTATAATAGGTACTAGAAAATAGCAACATTTTATTATATTTTGAATTTGAAAGACCCTTGTTATGTGCATATAAAATGCACTATCAAAAAGAAGAAGTGAAAAGATATGAATCCTTGACTGGCCAATAAATATAAGTCACGTTAAAATTCTTTATTATTGACTAAAGTTGTTACTATTATCATTATAATTTGGCAACTACTATATAATTTTTGAAAAAGAACTTTTAGCCAATTTATCACATGTACATGATGCTTGTTCTAAGTTTGGTTTTTATTTAAACTAAACTTATTATTTGGATTCGTTTTTAATGAAACGATGTACCTCGCGCAAGGTGACAGAATCCTCACACCTGCGACATCACACACACCTTGCGCAAGGTAACATTAATTTCACGCGAGATAAATCATTCAATAAGACAATTTTAATGGCTAGTAAACTATCAATATAAAAACTTTTCGATAATAAATTAAAAATTATTACATATATAAAATTGCGTGATGTCTACCTTGCGCGAGGTATGTGAGTATGTATTAAGTTTGCCTCGCGTGAATTACATCTCTAGACGAATCGAATAGTAAAAAAGCTATCATCTCATGACGTTTGTCATATTACCTAGCTTATGGGATTCAAATTAGGATGTTTGAAATTGAAATTTTTTCGAAGTTACACAGAGGAAAGGGAAAATTAAACATAGTACACTGAAAAATTTTGGCTGCCATGCTGACTACTATAGCGATCAGTCTGTCATTTCTATTTGTTTAATTTTGAAGGAGCTCAGGAGATGGAGGGAGGATAACATTACAGCCGTTTTCAAAAATGCGTGAACAACGATTTCCATATACCTATGTGGGAAATCGAAGAATTTGGAAATTTGGATTAATGAAAATTAAACTTCGAGTCTTTGAAAACTCCGGAAATACGGGAAATATTGTGAATTCCCATGGCATGGTGATCTGTGACTGTTCACACCTTTTTGAAAAGAGCTGTAAATAAAAAATCCATATTTTGATTAAGTATCAACCCAGTTTCAATTACCATAGTTTGCCAGGTTATTCGTTTAGTATGTTCAAAATGTATTATATGACTTAAATATGATGAAAAGAGATCTTGAGCAACTACTGTACAAATATCTTTGTCTTTTCATAAAGTGGATCTTGAGAGACTATTTGTGATATAACAAAAGCGATCCAGGATATGGAAGGGAATTCGGCTTTTTCTAAAAAATCTATAACATATTCTTCAAATTTTTTTTACAAAACCTCGACGCATTAACTCAGATCTTGTTTTATATATTGAAATAAATGAACTTCCTGGACTATAGTTTTTCTTTTGATTATTAAAGGTACCATATAAAGTGGAGTTAGTTCTAATTTATCAAGAGCTTCTGGCATATTTTTAAACCATTTCTTGAGAAACCAACCAGCCAGTCTATGGCTTTATCCTCAGCATTTATTGGAAGAGCATCATTAGAATATCTTAACACAGAATTATCAATTCTTTGTAGATTAATCTCAACTAAAAAACTATCAACCTTGTCTCAACTACCACAAATGGTATGTTTATCATAGTGCATTCATCAGGTTTGAGGCCTAATTTCTCTGGCTGAGGACCGGCTTATTAAGTATTTATTTTCTGGTTTGTAATTCTATATTTAATAATAATTCTGGTAGATCTTTATAATCTTTACCTATAAAGAAGGTAGGTATATAATGTGTAAATGTTATAGCATTTTCTAATTGGGATTTTTCTCTGGACATGAATGTATTTTTCAGAGTTGTAAGGGCCCAGACTGCTTTAATGCGTTTGTTGAAAAAAAATAAATAAATAAGATATGAATTTGAGTAAGTATCTCACAGTTACCACAAAGTGTAAAAGGGCGGATTTGGAGGTGACTAGTACTTGCAACATAAAATACGACAAAAAAACAAAGGCTACTCGAAAGAAGGTGTGGAAGTTTTGGTCCAAGAACCAAAGATCCTATGCCAC